AGGTCGATGGATCGAAAACCATCCTCTGCTAATTTCTGAGTTTTTCAATGTTTTAGTCCACCAAATGGAATATCTGTTTAATGTATTGGCCACTAAATAATTGCCATTGACAACCCAGTGCAGCCAATTCATGCAAGCATAAGCATCCCTCTCCTCACATTCTATGCACATTTAAAAATTAGGTACAGATCCAGATTCCACTCTTTTGAAACCCACCTTTTTCTGTTTCAAAACAATGCCAACATCTGGTTGGGATTAACCTTAGTAAACCTTTTGAACTGAAAGCAATTTTTTCGCTAACACGTCAGCCCCAGTGGCCTAATGGATAAGGTCACTGGCCCTCCTAAGCCAGGGATTGTGGGTTCGAGTCCCGTCTGGGGTGATTCAAAGCAGAGTGGCGCAGCGGAAGCGTGCTGGGCCCATAACCCAGAGGTCGATGGATCGAAACCATCCTCTGCTAGATGTGTGTTTTATACCACAAAGTCAATTGCAATTTGACATCCAGGTCTAGCCACCTCAGCAAACATGAGGATTTTGGCTCAAATTCAGTACCCATTTTAGAGATCCGCAACCAGTGTTAGCCAACAATCGTTTTTCACTCTCAATTTTGAGGTGAATCGAGCCTGGGTTTGGGCAATTTGAGTCAAATAGTTAGTACTACAAAGCAGAGTGGCGCAGCGGAAGCGTGCAGGGCCCATAACCCAGCGGTCGATGGATCGAAACCATGCTCTGCTAATTTCGGAGTTTTCAATGTTTTAGTCCACCAAATGAATATCTGTTCAATGTACTTGGCCACTAAATAAATTGCCATTGACATCCCAGTGCAGCCAATTCAGCAAGCATAAGCATCCCTCCTCACATTCTATGCACATTAAAAATGTTGGTACATATCCATATCCACTCTTTTGAAACCCACCTTTTTCTGTTTCAAACAATGCCAACATCTGGTTGGGATTAACCTTAGTAAACCTTTTGAACTGAAATCAATTTCTTTGCACCATATCTGCCCCAGTGGACTAAGGGATAAGGCACTGGCCTCCTAGGCCAGGGATTGTGCGTTCGAGACCCATCTGGGGTGATTTAAAGCAGAGTCGGGCTGCGGATGCGTGATGGACCCAGAGGTCGATGGATTGAAACCATCCCCTGCAAGATGAAATTTAACCTCCTGTGTTAGCGTCCTCTGCAAACATGTGGATTTTGCCTGAAATTCAGTGCCCATTTTAGAGATCCGCAACCAGTGTTAGCCAACAATGGTTTTGCGCTCTCAATTATGAGGTGAATCGAGCCTGGGTTTGGCAATTTGAGTCAAATACTCAGTACTAGAAAGCAGAGTGGCGCAGCGGGAAGCGTGCTGGGCCCAAAACCCAGAGGCGCTGGATCGAAACCATCCCCTGCAAGATGCAATTTGACCTCCTGTGCTAGCGTCCTCTGCAAACATGTGGATTTTGCCTGAAATTCAGTGCCCATTTTAGAGATCCGCAACCAGTGTTAGCCAACAATGGTTTTGCGCTCTCAATTATGAGGTGAATCGAGCCTGGGTTTGGCAATTTGAGTCAAATACTCAGTACTACAAAGCAGAGTGGCGCAGCGGAAGCGTGCTGGGCCCAAAACCCCGAGGCGCTGGATCGAAACCATCCCCTGCAAGATGCAATTTGACCTCCTGTGCTAGCGTCCTCTGCAAACATGTGGATTTTGCCTGAAATTCAGTGCCCATTTTAGAGATCTGCAACCAGTGTTAGCCAACAATGGTTTTGCGCTCTCAATTATGAGGTGAATCGAGCCTGGGTTTAGCAATTTGAGTCAAATACTCAGTGCTACAAGGCAGAGTGGCGCAGCGGAAGCGTGCTGGCCCATAACCCAGAGGTCGATGGATCGAAACCATCCTCTGCTAATTTCGGAGTTTTCAATGTTTTAGTCCACCAAATGAATATCTGTTTAATGTATTGGCCACTAAATAAATTGCCATTGACAACGCAGTGCAGCCAATTCAGCAAGCATAAGCATCCCTCCTCACATTCTATGCACATTAAAAATTATGGTACAGATCCATATCCACTCTTTTGAAACCCACCTTTTTCTGTTTCAAACAATTCCAACATCTGGTTGGGATTAACCTTAGTAAACCTTTTGAACTGAAATCAATTTATTCGCAACACGTCAGCCCCAGTGGCCTAATGGATAAGGCACTGGCCTCCTAAGCCAGGGATTGTGGGTTCGAGTCCCGTCTGGGGTGATTTAAAGCAGAGTGGCGCAGCGGAAGCGTGCTGGGCCCATAACCCAGAGGTCGATGGATCGAAACCATCCTCTGCTAGATGTGTGTTTTATACCACAAAGTCAATTGCAATTTGACATCCAGGTCTAGCCACCTCAGCAAACATGAGGATTTTGGCTCAAATTCAGTGCCCATTTTAGAGATCCGCAACCAGTGTTAGCCAACAATCGTTTTTCACTCTCAATTTTGAGGTGAATCGAGCCTGGGTTTGGCAATTTGAGTCAAATAGTTAGTACTACAAAGCAGAGTGGCGCAGCGGAAGCGTGCTGGGCCCATAACCCAGCGGTCGATGGATCGAAACCATCCTCTGCTAATTTCGGAGTTTTCAATGTTTTAGTCCACCAAATGAATATCTGTTCAATGTATTGGCCACTAAATAAATTGCCATTGACATCCCAGTGCAGCCAATTCAGCAAGCATAAGCATCCCTCCTCACATTCTATGCACATTAAAAATGTTGGTACATATCCATATCCACTCTTTTGAAACCCACCTTTTTCTGTTTCAAACAATGCCAACATCTGGTTGGGATTAACCTTAGTAAACCTTTTGAACTGAAATCAATTTCTTTGCACCATATCTGCCCCAGTGGACTAAGGGATAAGGCACTGGCCTCCTAGGCCAGGGATTGTGCGTTCGAGACCCATCTGGGGTGATTTAAAGCAGAGTCGGGCTGCGGATGCGTGATGGACCCAGAGGTCGATGGATTGAAACCATCCCCTGCAAGATGAAATTTAACCTCCTGTGTTAGCGTCCTCTGCAAACATGTGGATTTTGCCTGAAATTCAGTGCCCATTTTAGAGATCCGCAACCAGTGTTAGCCAACAATGGTTTTGCGCTCTCAATTATGAGGTGAATCGAGCCTGGGTTTGGCAATTTGAGTCAAATACTCAGTACTAGAAAGCAGAGTGGCGCAGCGGAAGCGTGCTGGGCCCAAAACCCAGAGGCGCTGGATCGAAACCATCCCCTGCAAGATGCAATTTGACCTCCTGTGCTAGCGTCCTCTGCAAACATGTGGATTTTGCCTGAAATTCAGTGCCCATTTTAGAGATCCGCAACCAGTGTTAGCCAACAATGGTTTTGCGCTCTCAATTATGAGGTGAATCGAGCCTGGGTTTGGCAATTTGAGTCAAATACTCAGTACTACAAAGCAGAGTGGCGCAGCGGAAGCGTGCTGGGCCCAAAACCCCGAGGCGCTGGATCGAAACCATCCCCTGCAAGATGCAATTTGACCTCCTGTGCTAGCGTCCTCTGCAAACATGTGGATTTTGCCTGAAATTCAGTGCCCATTTTAGAGATCTGCAACCAGTGTTAGCCAACAATGGTTTTGCGCTCTCAATTATGAGGTGAATCGAGCCTGGGTTTGGCAATTTGAGTCAAATACTCAGTGCTACAAAGCAGAGTGGCGCAGCGGAAGCGTGCTGGGCCCATAACCCAGAGGTCGATGGATCGAAACCATCCTCTGCTAATTTCTGAGTTTTCAATGTTTTAGTCCACCAAATGAATATCGGTTTAATGTATTGGCCACTAAATAAATTGCCATTGACAACGCAGTGCAGCCAATTCAGCAAGCATAAGCATCCCTCCCTCACATTCTATGCACATTAAAAATATGGTACAGATCCATATCCACTCTTTTGAAAACCCACCTTTTTCTGTTTCAAACAATGCCAACATCTGGTTGGGATTAACCTTAGTAAACCTTTTGAACTGAAATCAATTTATTCGCAACACGTCAGCCCCAGTGGCCTAATGGATAAGGCACTGGCCTCCTAAGCCAGGGATTGTGGGTTCGAGTCCCGTCTGGGGTGATTTAAAGCAGAGTGGCGCAGCGGAAGCGTGCTGGGCCCATAACCCAGAGGTCGATGGATCGAAACCATCCTCTGCTAATTTCGGAGTTTTCAATGTTTTAGTCCACCAAATGAATATCTGTTTAATGTATTGGCCACTAAATAAATTGCCATTGACAACGCAGTGCAGCCAATTCAGCAAGCATAAGCATCCCTCCTCACATTCTATGCACATTAAAAATTATGGTACAGATCCATATCCACTCTTTTGAAACCCACCTTTTTCTGTTTCAAACAATTCCAACATCTGGTTGGGATTAACCTTAGTAAACCTTTTGAACTGAAATCAATTTATTCGCAACACGTCAGCCCCAGTGGCCTAATGGATAAGGCACTGGCCTCCTAAGCCAGGGATTGTGGGTTCGAGTCCCGTCTGGGGTGATTTAAAGCAGAGTGGCGCAGCGGAAGCGTGCTGGGCCCATAACCCAGAGGTCGATGGATCGAAACCATCCTCTGCTAGATGTGTGTTTTATACCACAAAGTCAATTGCAATTTGACATCCAGGTCTAGCCACCTCAGCAAACATGAGGATTTTGGCTCAAATTCAGTGCCCATTTTAGAGATCCGCAACCAGTGTTAGCCAACAATCGTTTTTCACTCTCAATTTTGAGGTGAATCGAGCCTGGGTTTGGCAATTTGAGTCAAATAGTTAGTACTACAAAGCAGAGTGGCGCAGCGGAAGCGTGCTGGGCCCATAACCCAGCGGTCGATGGATCGAAACCATCCTCTGCTAATTTCGGAGTTTTCAATGTTTTAGTCCACCAAATGAATATCTGTTCAATGTATTGGCCACTAAATAAATTGCCATTGACATCCCAGTGCAGCCAATTCAGCAAGCATAAGCATCCCTCCTCACATTCTATGCACATTAAAAATGTTGGTACATATCCATATCCACTCTTTTGAAACCCACCTTTTTCTGTTTCAAACAATGCCAACATCTGGTTGGGATTAACCTTAGTAAACCTTTTGAACTGAAATCAATTTCTTTGCACCATATCTGCCCCAGTGGACTAATGGATAAGGCACTGGCCTCCTAGGCCAGGGATTGTGCGTTCGAGACCCATCTGGGGTGATTTAAAGCAGAGTCGGGCTGCGGATGCGTGATGGACCCAGAGGTCGATGGATTGAAACCATCCCCTGCAAGATGAAATTTAACCTCCTGTGTTAGCGTCCTCTGCAAACATGTGGATTTTGCCTGAAATTCAGTGCCCATTTTAGAGATCCGCAACCAGTGTTAGCCAACAATGGTTTTGCGCTCTCAA